TCCCTCTGCCCCCAGCTCCCCTGTCCCTCTGCCCCTAGCTCCCGTCCTCTGCCCCTAGCTCCCCTTTCCCCTGCCCCCCAGCTCCCCTGTCCCTCGCCCTAGCTCCCCTGTCCCTCTGCCCCAGCTCCCCTGTCCCTCTGCCCTAGCTCCCCTGTCCCTCTGCCCCCAGCTCCCCTGTCCTCTGCCCCTAGCTCCCCTGTCCCTCTGCCCCAGCTCCCCTGTCCCTCTGCCCAGCTCCCTGTCCCTCTGTCCCAGCTCCCCTGTCCCTCTGCCCCAGCCCCTGTCCCTCCTGCCCCCTTCCCTCTGCCCCTAGCTCCCCTGTCCCTCTGCACTCCCCTGTCCCTCTGCCCCTAGCTCCCCTGTCCTCTGCCCTAGCCTCCCCTGCCTGCCCTCTGCCCCTAGCTCCCCTGTCCCTCGTCCCCTGTCCCTCTGCCCCTAGCTCCCCTGTCCCTCTGCCCCTGTCCTCTGCCCCTAGCTCCCCCGTCCCTCTGTCCCCTGCTCCCCTGCTCCCTGTCCCTCTGACGCTCCCCTGTCCTCTGCCCCTAGCTCCCCTGTCCCTCTGCCCCCAGCTCCCCTGTCCCTCTGCCCTAGCTCCCCTGTCCCTCTGCCCCCAGCTCCCCTGTCCCTCTGCCCCAGTCCCCTGTCCCTCTGCCCCCAGCTCCCCTGTCCCTCTGCCCCAGCTCCCCTGTCCCTCTGTCCCTAGCTCCCCTGTCCTCTGCCCCTAGCTCCCTGTCCCTCTGCCCCTAGCTCCCCTGTCCCTCTGCCCCTAGCTCCCCCCTGTCCCTCTGCCCTAGCTCCCCTGTCCCTCTGCCCCCAGTCCCCCTGTCCCTCTGGGCCCCAGCTCCCTGTCCCTCTGCCCTAGCTCCCCGTCCTCTGCCCCTAGCTCCCCTGTCCCCCTGCCCCAGCTCCCCTGTCCCTCTGCCCCTAGCTCCCTGTCCCTCTGCCCCAGCTCCCCTGTCCCTCTGCCCCCAGCTCCCCTGTCCCTCTGCCCCCTGTCCCCTGCCCCCCAGCTCCCCTGTCCCTCTGCCCCCTGTCACTCTGCCCCAGCTCCCTGTCCCTCTGCCCCTAGCTCCCCTGTCCCTCTGCCCCAGCTCCCCTGTCCCTATGCCCCCTGTCCCTTGCCCCAGCTCCCCTGTCCCTCTGCCCCTGCCCCTCTGCCCCTAGCCTGCCCCTGCCCTCCCTCTGCCCCCAGCTCCCCTGTCCCTCTGCCCAGTCCGCTCTGCCCCTAGTCCCCTGCCCTCTGCCCCTAGCTCCCCTGTCCCTGCCCTAGCTCCGTCCTCTGCCCCAGCTCCCCTGTCCCTCTGCCCCTAGCTCCCCTGTCCTCTGCCCCTAGCTCCCTGTCCCTCTGCCCCTAGCTCCCCTGTCCCTCTGCCCCTAGCTCCCCTGTCCCTCTGCCCATCCCTGTCCCTGCTCCCTCTGCCCCAGCTCCCCTGTCCCTCCTGCTCCCTGTTTCCCCCTGCCCCTAGCTCCCCTGTCCCCCTGCCCAGCTCCCTGTCCCTCTGCCCCTAGCTCCCTGTCCCTCTGCCCCAGCTCCCCTGTCCTCTGCCCCCAGCTCCCCTGTCCCTCTGTCCCCAGCTCCCCTGTCCCTGCCCCCTGTCCCTGCCCCAGCTCCCTGTCCCTCTGCCCCAGCTCCCCTGGGCCCTCTGCCCTAGCTCCCCTGTCCTTGCCCCAGCTCCCATGTCCCTCTGCCAGCTCCCCCGTCCCTCTGCCCCCAGCTCCCCTGTCCCTCTGCCCCTGCCCTCTGCCCGCTCCCCTGTCCCTCTGCCCAGTCCCCCGTCCCTCTGCCCCTAGCTCCCCTGTCCCTCTGCCCCACCCCCTGTCCCCTGCCCCTAGCTCCCCTGTCCCTCTGCCCTAGCTCCCTGTCCCTCTGCCCCAGCTCCCCTGTCCCTCTGCCCCAGCTCCCCTGTCCCCTCCCCGCCCCTAGCTCCCCTGCCCTCTGCCCCTAGCTCCCCTGTCCTCTGCCCCTAGCTCCCTGTCCTCTGCCCCAGCTCCCTGTCCCTCTGCCCCTAGCTCCCCTGTCCCTCTGCCCCCTAGCTCCCCCTGTCCCCTCTGCCCTAGCTCCCCTGTCCCTCTGCCTAGCTCCCCTGTCCCTCTGCCCCAGCTCCCTGTCCCTCTGCCCCTAGGCTCCCCTGTCCCTCTGCCCCTAGCTCCCCTGTCCCTCTTGTCCCCTAGCTCCCCTGTCCCTCTGCCCCTAGCTCCCCTGTCCCTCTGCCCCCGCCCCTCTGCCCCTAGCTCCCCTGTCCCCCTGCCCCTGCTCCCCTGTCCCTCTCTGCCCCTGCCCCTTGCCCCAGCTCCCTGTCCCTCTGCCCCAGCTCCCCTGTCCCTCTGCCCCAGCTCCCTGCCCCTAGCCCCCAGTCCCTCTTGCCCCTAGTCCTGTCCCTCTGCCACCAGCTCCCCTGTCCCTCTGCCCCTAGCTCCCTGTCCCTCTGCCCTAGCCCTGCCCCAGCCCCCGGGCCCTCTGCCCAAGCTCCCCTGTCCCTCTGCCCCAGCTCCCCCCTCGCCCTAGCTCCCTGTCCCTCTGCCCCTAGCTCCCCTGTCCCTCTGCCCAGCTCCCCTGTCCTCTGCCCCTACTGTCCCTGCCCCCTGTCCCCCTGCCCCAAGCTCCGTCCCTTGCCCCTAGCTCCCATGTCCCTCTGCCCCAGCTCCCCCTGTCCCTCTGCCCTAGCTCCCCGGTCCCTCTGCCCCCAGCTCCCTGTCCCTCTGCCCCTAGCTCCCCTGTCCCTTGCCCCAGCTCACCTGTCCCTCTGCCCTAGCTCCCCTGTCCATCTGCCCTAGCTCCCCTGTCCCTCTGCACCTGCTCCCTGTCCCTCTGCCCCTAGTCTCCCTGTCCTCTGCCCTAGCTCCCTGTCCCTGCCCCTAGCTCCCCTGTCCCTCTGTCCCCTAGCTCCCTGTCCCGTGCCCCAGCTCCTCTTCCCTCTGCCCAGTCCCTGTACCTGCCCAGCCCTCTGTCCCATGCCCCGGGCCATCTCCTAGCCCCAGTCCCCTGCCCCTGCCCCTGCCCCAGCCCCTGCCCTCTGCCCCAGTCCCCTGTCCCTCTGCCCCTAGGCTTCCATGTCCCCTGCCCAGCTCCCTGTCCCCTGCCCCAGCTCCCCTGTCCCTCTCTAGCTCCCTGCCCCTGCCCCTAGCCCCTGCCCCCAGCTCCCTGTCCCTCTGCCCTAGCTCCCTGTCCTCTGCCCCTAGCTCCCTGCCCCAGCTCCCCTGCCCTACTCCCCTTCCCTCCCCTAGTCCCTCCCCCAGCTCCCTGTCCTCTGCCCCTAGCTCCCTGTCCCTCTGCCCCAGCTCCCTGTCCCTTCCCCAGCCCCCGTCCTTTCCCAGCTCCCTGTCCCTTGCCCTAGCTCCCCTGCCCTCTGCCCTAGCTCCCTGCCCTGCCCAGGATCCCCTCTGCCCCGCCCTGCCCTAGCCTCCCCTGCCTGCTCCCGCCCCTGCCCCAGCCCCCCCCTGCCCGCTCCTGTCCTCTGCCCCTAGCTCTGGGGCCTTGCCCTGTCCTGTCTTCCCTAGTCCTGCCTGACCAGCTCCTCCTCTGCCCCCCCTGCTCTCCGGGGCCTCCCCGTTTCCTGTCCTCCCCACTCCCTGCCAGTCCCCGTCCATCCCTAGTCCGTCCCTGCCTACCCTGTCCTCCCACTCCCTTCTCTCAGCCCGGTCCTTTGGAGTCCACCCACGGCCTCCGTTTCTCCATGTCCATACCTACTGGCAAGCGTCAATTTCAGGTAGGCATCAAAGGGTTGGGAGGTTTCTCATTCTTGACGTGCCTGTCCTGTCTTCTCCTACAGTGAAGTCCAGCTGCCCCTGACGTCTGTCAAGCTGTCCAAGACTTCCTCAGGTAGGTCACAGTACCCACACTGGTCCAATACTTCATCAGGTAGGTCCACAGTACCCCACACTGGTCCATAATTTACATTCAGGTAGGTCCACATACCCACACTGGTCCAATACTTCATCAGGTAGGTCACAGTACCCACACTGGTCCAATACTTCATCAGGTAGGTACAGTACCCACACTGGTCCAATACTTCATCAGATAGGTCACAGTACCCACACTGGTCCAATACTTCATCAGGTAGGTCACAGTACCCACACTGGTCCAATACTTCATCAGGTAGGTCACAGTACCCACACTGGTCCAATACTTCATCAGGTAGGTCACAGTACCCACACTGGTCCAATACTTCATCAGGTAGTCACAGTACCCACACTGGTCCAATACTTCCTCAGGTAGGTCACAGTACCCACACTGGTTCCAATACTTCCTCAGGTAGGTCCACAAGTACCCACACTGGTCCACTACTTCCTCAGTTGGTACAGTACCCACATGGTCCAATACTTCATCAGGTAGGTCACAGTACCCACACTGGTCCAATACTTCATCAGGTAGGTCACAGTACTCACACTGGTCCAATACTTCATCAGGTAGGTCACAGTACCCACACTGGTCCAATACTTCATCAGATAGGTCACAGTACCCACACTGGTCCAATACTTCATCAGATAGGTCACAGTACCCACACTGGTCCAATACTTCATCAGGTAGGTCACAGTACCCACACTGGTCCAATACTTCATCAGGTAGGTCACATGATCTCACATGCTCAGGTAGGATAGGCTAGATCCAGACCAGAATAGTCCATTGGACCTGATAGTTACAATACCCAGACCCCCTTGCTGGTTCGTCTTCAACTAGACAGACAGCATGGTAATGGCCTGTGATAAATTATGGGCATATTTGTGAGTGTATATTTAACTAAGCAAATGGATGTCTACTATCAATCCCCCCCCCTCACATGTCCCCCTCTGCATTTCAATAAGGACATTTGGAGTTGACTGAATTGAAATGGAATTAACCTTGTAAACTTGTGGAGGAGAGAAGCTGTTTTGATATGTGTATATTTCAGTGGTGTTTAACATGTGCATCTCTGTCTTTCTAGATCTGTCTCTAGATGCGTCGTCAGACCATGGGGAGGAGGAGCTGCCGTCTGATGTTTAGGTCACAGGGCGGTTTAAGCATGCGGGCCCGTCGCTCTATACCTGTTCTGGAGACCGCACTGTTAGAGCCTTCAGCCTGGTGGTAAGTCCATGTTTTCTCTCTGTCTTTGTGGTCACAGTTGTGCGTGTCTCTTTGTCTCATGCATCTGTCGTCAGTCTGTCTGTCTGTCTGCTCTCTCCTGTTCTTGGTACTCCTGTTGTTGTCTTCGTCTGGTTGGTATCCATCTCTGCTCTCTGTCTCTCTGTCTGTCTGTCTGTCTGTCTCTCTCTCTGTCTCTCTGTCTCTCTGTCTCTCTGTCTGTCTGTCTGTCTGTCTGTTTTACCAGTCTGTTGCTGCCCTCACCATTATTTGACTACAAAGCATTTATATAAATGTCTTAGTTAATTTAGAAAACAAACTCAGACAAGACATTGACTTCTACATCATACCAAGTGAATTATATCCAAAGGGACTGTCCTCTCTAACAGACTGTCCTCTCTAACAGACTGTCCTCTCTAACAGACTGTCCTCTCTAACAGACTGTCCTCTCTAACAGACTGTCCTCTCTAACAGTCTGTCCTCTCTAACAGTCTGTCCTCTCCCCTGCAGAGCCGTGAGTGTGTGGCTGTGTTTGAGGGCCACAGCACCAAGGTCAACTGTTTGCTGGTTTCTTCTGGACCAGGTCTACAACAACGCCTTTACTCTGGTTCCAGTGACCAGACAATCCGCTGCTACAGCCTCAGGGTAAGTAACTATACTACTACTACACTAATACTACTACTACTACACCAATACTACTACACTACTACTACTACTACTACTACTACTACTACTACTACTAATACTAATAATAATAATAATAATACTACTGCACTAATACTACTACACTAATACTACTACACTGCTACACTAATACTACTACACTAATACTAATACTACTCCTACTACTACACTACTCCTACTAGTGTGTTCTATGTTCTCTGACTGTGTTCTATGTTCTCTGACTATGTGTTCTATGTTCTCCACAGTCCAGGGAGTGTGTGGATCAGTTCTCTCTCCCAGACCGGGTTCTTTGCCTCCACAACCGCTGGAAAGTTCTGTATGCTGGCCTAGCCAACGGCTCCGTGGTCACCTTCAGCCTCAAGGTCAGAACCAGAACTCTAGAACACCTTCTATTCTAGAACCGTCACTAGAACACCATCTAGAACACATTGTAAAACCGACAATTGAACACAGTCTAGAATGCATTGTAATCTATAACACATTCTAGAACCCAACTGGAATTATAACATTATGGAACCACCCCAGTTACTACCAGAGGCTATTCTTCAAACACATTTTCAGATCTTATTTGTTATTTGTCGTATTTGTTCTTGTTCAGACCAACAAGCAGCTGGATGTGTTCGAGTGTCACGGGCCGCGGGCGGTGAGTTGCCTAGCGACAGCCCAGGAAGGGACTCGCCGCATCCTATTGGTCGGATCCTACGACAGCACCATTAGTGTTCGGGATGCCAAGAGTGGCCTGTTGCTACGGACTCTGGAGGGCCACACCAAGACAGTACTATGTATGAAGGTGGTCAATGACCTGGTCTTCAGTGGCTCCAGCGACCAGTCGGTCCATGCACACAATATACACGTGAGTTATTGAAATACAATATTCAGACCGCAGTCACATCCCAGGTGACTCTCTCCTCTTATTCACTCTGGACATGCGCTGGTAGATCCCAACCCGCTAACTACCATCAGGTCCTAATGGCCTGGTACTCAGCGCTCTATTGTCCCTCTAACCATCAGGTCCTAATGGCCTGGTACTCAGGGATCTATTGTCCCTCTAACCATCAGGTCCTAATGTCCTGGTACTCAGCACTCTATTGTCCCTCTAACCATCAGGTCCTAATGGCCTGGTACTCAGGGCTCTATTGTCCCTCTAACCATCAGGTCCTAATGTCCTGGTACTCAGCACTCTATTGTCCCTCTAACCATCAGGTCCTAATGGCCTGGTACTCAGCACTCTATTGTCCCTCTAACCATCAGGTCCTAATGGCCTGGTACTCAGCGCTCTATTGTCCCTCTAACCATCAGGTCCTAATGGCCTGGTACTCAGGGATCTATTGTCCCTCTAACCATCAGGTCCTAATGTCCTGGTACTCAGCACTCTATTGTCCCTCTAACCATCAGGTCCTAATGGCCTGGTACTCAGGGCTCTATTGTCCCTCTAACCATCAGGTCCTAATGGCCTGGTACTCAGGGCTCTATTGTCCCTCTAACCATCAGGTCCTAATGTCCTGGTACTCAGCACTCTATTGTCCCTCTAACCATCAGGTCCTAATGGCCTGGTACTCAGCACTCTATTGTCCCTCTAACCATCAGGTCCTAATGGCCTGGTACTCAGCGCTCTATTGTCCCTCTAACCATCAGGTCCTAATGACCTGGTACTCAGGGCTCTATTGTCCCTCTAACCATCAGGTCCTAATGGCCTGGTACTCAGGGCTCTATTGTCCCTCTAACCATCAGGTCGCTAATGACCTGGTACTCAGCGCTCTATTGTCCCTCTAACCATCAGGTCCTAATGGTCTGGTACTCAGCGCTCTATTGTCCCTCTAACCATCAGGTCCTAATGGTCTGGTACTCAGCGCTCTATTGTCCCTCTAACCATCAGGTCCTAATGACCTGGTACTCAGGGCTCTATTGTCCCTCTAACCATCAGGTCCTAATGGCCTGGTACTCAGGGCTCTATTGTCCCTCTAACCATCAGGTCGCTAATGACCTGGTACTCAGCGCTCTATTGTCCCTCTAACCATCAGGTCCTAATGGTCTGGTACTCAGCGCTCTATTGTCCCTCTAACCATCAGGTCCTAATGGCCTGGTACTCAGGGCTCTCTCTAACCATCAGGTCGCTAATGACCTGGTACTCAGCGCTCTATTGTTCCTCTAACCATCAGGTCCTAATGACCTGGTACTCAGCGCTCTATTGTCCCTCTAACCATCAGGTCCTAATGGCCTGGTACTCAGCGCTCTATTGTCCCTCTAACCATCAGGTCCTAATGACCTGGTACTCAGGGCTCTATTGTCCCTCTAACCATCAGGTCCTAATGGCCTGGTACTCAGGGCTCTATTGTCCCTCTAACCATCAGGTCCTAATGGTCTGGTACTCAGCGCTCTATTGTCCCTCTAACCATCAGGTCCTAATGGTCTGGTACTCAGCGCTCTATTGTCCCTCTAACCATCAGGTCCTAATGACCTGGTACTCAGGGCTCTATTGTCCCTCTAACCATCAGGTCCTAATGGCCTGGTACTCAGGGCTCTATTGTCCCTCTAACCATCAGGTCGCTAATGACCTGGTACTCAGCGCTCTATTGTCCCTCTAACCATCAGGTCCTAATGGTCTGGTACTCAGCGCTCTATTGTCCCTCTAACCATCAGGTCCTAATGGCCTGGTACTCAGGGCTCTCTCTAACCATCAGGTCGCTAATGACCTGGTACTCAGCGCTCTATTGTCCCTCTAACCATCAGGTCCTAATGACCTGGTACTCAGCGCTCTATTGTCCCTCTAACCATCAGGTCCTAATGGCCTGGTACTCAGGGCTCTATTGGCCCTCTAACCATCATGTCCTAATGGCCTGGTACTCAGGGCTCTATTGTCCCTCTAACCATCAGGTCGCTAATGACCTGGTACTCAGCGCTCTATTGTCCCTCTAACCATCAGGTCCTAATGGCCTGGTACTCAGGGCTCTATTGGCCCTCTAACCATCAGGTCCTAATGGCCTGGTACTCAGCGCTCTATTGTCCCTCTAACCATCAGGTCCTAATGGCCTGGTACTCAGGGCTCTATTGTCCCTCTAACCATCAGGTCCTAATGGCCTGGTACTCAGGGCTCTATTGTCCCTCTAACCATCAGGTCCTAATGGCCTGGTACTCAGGGCTCTATTGTCCCTCTAACCATCAGGGTGCTAATGGCCTGGTACTCAGGGCTCTATTGTCCCTCTAACCATCAGGGTTCTAATGGCCTGGTACTCAGGGCTCTATTGTCCCTCTAACCATCAGGGTGCTAATGGCCTGGTACTCAGCGCTCTATTGTCCCTCTAACCATCAGGTCCTAATGGTCTGGTACTCAGCGCTCTATTGTCCCTCTAACCATCAGGTCCTAATGGTCTGGTACTCAGCGCTCTATTGTCCCTCTAACCATCAGGTCCTAATGGCCTGGTACTCAGGGCTCTATTGTCCCTCTAACCATCAGGGTGCTAATGACCTGGTACTCAGCGCTCTATTGTCCCTCTAACCATCAGGTCCTAATGACCTGGTACTCAGCGCTCTATTGTCCCTCTAACCATCAGGTCCTAATGGCCTGGTACTCAGCGCTCTATTGTCCCTCTAACCATCAGGTCCTAATGACCTGGTACTCAGGGCTCTATTGTCCCTCTAACCATCAGGTCCTAATGGCCTGGTACTCAGGGCTCTATTGTCCCTCTAACCATCAGGTCGCTAATGACCTGGTACTCAGCGCTCTATTGTCCCTCTAACCATCAGGTCCTAATGGTCTGGTACTCAGCGCTCTATTGTCCCTCTAACCATCAGGTCCTAATGGTCTGGTACTCAGCGCTCTATTGTCCCTCTAACCATCAGGTCCTAATGACCTGGTACTCAGGGCTCTATTGTCCCTCTAACCATCAGGTCCTAATGGCCTGGTACTCAGGGCTCTATTGTCCCTCTAACCATCAGGTCGCTAATGACCTGGTACTCAGCGCTCTATTGTCCCTCTAACCATCAGGTCCTAATGGTCTGGTACTCAGCGCTCTATTGTCCCTCTAACCATCAGGTCCTAATGGTCTGGTACTCAGGGCTCTCTCTAACCATCAGGTCGCTAATGACCTGGTACTCAGCGCTCTATTGTCCCTCTAACCATCAGGTCCTAATGACCTGGTACTCAGCGCTCTATTGTCCCTCTAACCATCAGGTCCTAATGGCCTGGTACTCAGGGCTCTATTGGCCCTCTAACCATCATGTCCTAATGGCCTGGTACTCAGGGCTCTATTGTCCCTCTAACCATCAGGTCGCTAATGACCTGGTACTCAGCGCTCTATTGTCCCTCTAACCATCAGGGTGCTAATGACCTGGTACTCAGCGCTCTATTGTCCCTCTAACCATCAGGTCCTAATGACCTGGTACTCAGCGCTCTATTGTCCCTCTAACCATCAGGTCCTAATGGCCTGGTACTCAGCGCTCTATTGTCCCTCTAACCATCAGGTCCTAATGACCTGGTACTCAGGGCTCTATTGTCCCTCTAACCATCAGGTCCTAATGGCCTGGTACTCAGGGCTCTATTGTCCCTCTAACCATCAGGTCGCTAATGACCTGGTACTCAGCGCTCTATTGTCCCTCTAACCATCAGGTCCTAATGGTCTGGTACTCAGCGCTCTATTGTCCCTCTAACCATCAGGTCCTAATGGTCTGGTACTCAGCGCTCTATTGTCCCTCTAACCATCAGGTCCTAATGACCTGGTACTCAGGGCTCTATTGTCCCTCTAACCATCAGGTCCTAATGGCCTGGTACTCAGGGCTCTATTGTCCCTCTAACCATCAGGTCGCTAATGACCTGGTACTCAGCGCTCTATTGTCCCTCTAACCATCAGGTCCTAATGGTCTGGTACTCAGCGCTCTATTGTCCCTCTAACCATCAGGTCCTAATGGTCTGGTACTCAGCGCTCTATTGTCCCTCTAACCATCAGGTCCTAATGGCCTGGTACTCAGGGCTCTCTCTAACCATCAGGTCGCTAATGACCTGGTACTCAGCGCTCTATTGTCCCTCTAACCATCAGGTCCTAATGACCTGGTACTCAGCGCTCTATTGTCCCTCTAACCATCAGGTCCTAATGGCCTGGTACTCAGGGCTCTATTGGCCCTCTAACCATCATGTCCTAATGGCCTGGTACTCAGGGCTCTATTGTCCCTCTAACCATCAGGTCGCTAATGACCTGGTACTCAGCGCTCTATTGTCCCTCTAACCATCAGGTCCTAATGGCCTGGTACTCAGGGCTCTATTGGCCCTCTAACCATCAGGTCCTAATGGCCTGGTACTCAGCGCTCTATTGTCCCTCTAACCATCAGGTCCTAATGGCCTGGTACTCAGGGCTCTATTGTCCCTCTAACCATCAGGTCCTAATGGCCTGGTACTCAGGGCTCTATTGTCCCTCTAACCATCAGGTCCTAATGGCCTGGTACTCAGGGCTCTATTGTCCCTCTAACCATCAGGGTGCTAATGGCCTGGTACTCAGGGCTCTATTGTCCCTCTAACCATCAGGGTGCTAATGGCCTGGTACTCAGGGCTCTATTGTCCCTCTAACCATCAGGGTGCTAATGGCCTGGTACTCAGCGCTCTATTGTCCCTCTAACCATCAGGTCCTAATGGTCTGGTACTCAGCGCTCTATTGTCCCTCTAACCATCAGGTCCTAATGGTCTGGTACTCAGCGCTCTATTGTCCCTCTAACCATCAGGTCCTAATGGTCTGGTACTCAGCGCTCTATTGTCCCTCTAACCATCAGGTCCTAATGGCCTGGTACTCAGGGCTCTATTGTCCCTCTAACCATCAGGGTGCTAATGGCCTGGTACTCAGGGCTCTATTGTCCCTCTAACCATCAGGTCCTAATGGCCTGGTACTCAGGGCTCTATTGTCCCTCTAACCATCAGGGTGCTAATGGCCTGGTACTCAGGGCTCTATTGTTCCTCTAACCATCAGGTCCTAATGGTCTGGTACTCAGCGCTCTATTGTCCCTCTAACCATCAGGTCCTAATGGTCTGGTACTCAGCGCTCTATTGTCCCTCTAACCATCAGGTCCTAATGACCTGGTACTCAGGGCTCTATTGTCCCTCTAACCATCAGGTCCTAATGGCCTGGTACTCAGGGCTCTATTGTCCCTCTAACCATCAGGTCGCTAATGACCTGGTACTCAGCGCTCTATTGTCCCTCTAACCATCAGGTCCTAATGGTCTGGTACTCAGCGCTCTATTGTCCCTCTAACCATCAGGTCCTAATGGCCTGGTACTCAGGGCTCTCTCTAACCATCAGGTCGCTAATGACCTGGTACTCAGCGCTCTATTGTCCCTCTAACCATCAGGTCCTAATGACCTGGTACTCAGCGCTCTATTGTCCCTCTAACCATCAGGTCCTAATGGCCTGGTACTCAGGGCTTTATTGGCCCTCTAACCATCATGTCCTAATGGCCTGGTACTCAGGGCTCTATTGTCCCTCTAACCATCAGGTCGCTAATGACCTGGTACTCAGCGCTCTATTGTCCCTCTAACCATCAGGTCCTAATGGCCTGGTACTCAGGGCTCTATTGGCCCTCTAACCATCAGGTCCTAATGGCCTGGTACTCAGCGCTCTATTGTCCCTCTAACCATCAGGTCCTAATGGCCTGGTACTCAGGGCTCTATTGTCCCTCTAACCATCAGGTCCTAATGGCCTGGTACTCAGGGCTCTATTGTCCCTCTAACCATCAGGTCCTAATGGCCTGGTACTCAGGGCTCTATTGTCCCTCTAACCATCAGGGTGCTAATGGCCTGGTACTCAGGGCTCTATTGTCCCTCTAACCATCAGGGTTCTAATGGCCTGGTACTCAGGGCTCTATTGTCCCTCTAACCATCAGGGTGCTAATGGCCTGGTACTCAGCGCTCTATTGTCCCTCTAACCATCAGGTCCTAATGGTCTGGTACTCAGCGCTCTATTGTCCCTCTAACCATCAGGTCCTAATGGTCTGGTACTCAGCGCTCTATTGTCCCTCTAACCATCAGGTCCTAATGGCCTGGTACTCAGGGCTCTATTGTCCCTCTAACCATCAGGGTGCTAATGACCTGGTACTCAGCGCTCTATTGTCCCTCTAACCATCAGGTCCTAATGACCTGGTACTCAGCGCTCTATTGTCCCTCTAACCATCAGGTCCTAATGGCCTGGTACTCAGCGCTCTATTGTCCCTCTAACCATCAGGTCCTAATGACCTGGTACTCAGGGCTCTATTGTCCCTCTAACCATCAGGTCCTAATGGCCTGGTACTCAGGGCTCTATTGTCCCTCTAACCATCAGGTCGCTAATGACCTGGTACTCAGCGCTCTATTGTCCCTCTAACCATCAGGTCCTAATGGTCTGGTACTCAGCGCTCTATTGTCCCTCTAACCATCAGGTCCTAATGGTCTGGTACTCAGCGCTCTATTGTCCCTCTAACCATCAGGTCCTAATGACCTGGTACTCAGGGCTCTATTGTCCCTCTAACCATCAGGTCCTAATGGCCTGGTACTCAGGGCTCTATTGTCCCTCTAACCATCAGGTCGCTAATGACCTGGTACTCAGCGCTCTATTGTCCCTCTAACCATCAGGTCCTAATGGTCTGGTACTCAGCGCTCTATTGTCCCTCTAACCATCAGGTCCTAATGGTCTGGTACTCAGCGCTCTATTGTCCCTCTAACCATCAGGTCCTAATGGCCTGGTACTCAGGGCTCTATTGTCCCTCTAACCATCAGGTCCTAATGGCCTGGTACTCAGGGCTCTATTGTCCCTCTAACCACTCTGACATCAATGCAAATAACAATCGAAAAATCACATCAAACACTTATCATCAAAACAGTATCATGCTTTTAAAACTCACCGTCAGGCTACATGTTTTTGACGTCACTGTGATCAATCAATTTGAAGAAAAAAAGGTTCAACAACAGGTTGAAACTGAGTGTTTAAACATAGCTGTTGCGGATGTTGTTTCAAAGCCAAACACAATGAAATGGACAGCGGTTTCTGAGGTGATGATTCATTCACAACATGTCACATGTTTCCTAGAGTCTCTTATCTGGTCACATGTTTCCTAGAGTCTCTTATCTGGTCACATGTTTCCTAGAGTCTCTTATCTGGTCACATGTTTCCTAGAGTCTCTTATCTGGTCACATGTTTCCTAGAGTCTCTTATCAGTAATTGTATAGATATTTATTGGCATGAGTGTTTCTCTCTCTCTCTCTCTCTCTCTCTCTCTGTCTCTGTCTCTGTCTCTGTCTCTCTCTCTAGACTGGAGAGTTGGTGCGGATCTATAAAGGACATAGTCATGCTGTCACAGTGGTGGCCATCCTGGGGAAGGTGATGGTCACTGCCTGTCTTGACAAACTGGTCCGCGTCTACGACCTACAGGTCAGTCCTCTCTCCAGCCTCACTGTAGAGTCTATGAACTACAGGTCAGTCCTCTCTCCAGCCTCACTGTAGAGTCTATGAACTACAGGTCAGTCCTCTCTCCAGCCCCAGTGTAGAGTCTATGAACTACAGGTCAGTCCTCTCTCCAGCCCCAGTGTAGAGTCTATGAACTACAGGTCAGTCCTCTCTCCAGCCTCACTGTAGAGTCTATGAACTACAGGTCAGTCCTCTCTCCAGCCTCACTGTAGAGTCTATGAACTACAGGTCAGTCCTCTCTCCAGCCCCAGTGTAGAGTCTATGAACTACAGGTCAGTCCTCTCTCCAGCCTCACTGTAGAGTCTATGAACTACAGGTCAGTCCTCTCTCCAGCCCCAGTGTAGAGTCTATGAACTACAGGTCAGTCCCCTCTCCAGCCCCAATGTAGAGTCTATGAACTACAGGTCAGTCCTCTCTCCAGCCCCACTGTAGAGTCTATGAACTACAGGTCAGTCCCCTCTCTCCAGCCTCATTGTAGAGTCTATGAACTACAGGTCAGTCCTCTCTCCAGCCTCACTGTAGAGTCTATGAACTACAGGTCAGTCCTCTCTCCAGCCCCAGTGTAGAGTCTATGAACTACAGGTCAGTCCCCTCTCCAGCCCCAATGTAGAGTCTATGAACTACAGGTCAGTCCTCTCTCCAGCCCCACTGTAGAGTCTATGAACTACAGGTCAGTCCCCTCTCTCCAGCCTCATTGTAGAGTCTATGAACTACAGGTCAGTCCCCTCTCCAGCCCCACTGTAGAGTCTATGAACTACAGGTCAGTCCTCTCTCCAGCCCCACTGTAGAGTCTATGAACTACAGGTCAGTCCTCTCTCCAGCCCCACTGTAGAGTCTATGAACTACAGGTCAGTCCTCTCTCCAGCCCCAGTGTAGAGTCTATGAACTACAGGTCAGTCCTCTCTCCAGCCCCAGTGTAGAGTCTATGAACTACAGGTCAGTCCCCTCTCTCCAGCCCCAGTGTAGAGTCTATGAACTACAGGTCAGTCCTCTCTCTCCAGCCCCACTGTAGAGTCTATGAACTACAGGTCAGTCCTCTCTCCAGCCCCAGTGTAGAGTCTATGAACTACAGGTCAGTCCTCTCTCTCCAGCCCCACTGTAGAGTCTATGAACTACAGGTCAGTCCTCTCTCCAGCCTCACTGTAGAGTCTATGAACTACAGGTCAGTCCTCTCTCCAGCCCCAGTGTAGAGTCTATGAACTACAGGTCAGTCCTCTCTCTCCAGCCCCACTGTAGAGTCTATGAACTACAGGTCAGTCCTCTCTCCAGCCCCACTGTAGAGTCTATGAACTACAGGTCAGTCCCCTCTCTCCAGCCTCATTGTAGAGTCTATGAACTACAGGTCAGTCCTCTCTCCAGCCCCACTGTAGAGTTGGTAGCCATGTGTCTGTTCCTCGACATTAAAGCCAGACTGTACAATCACCTGTTTTTTTTATGGAGTAGTTAGTGCTCTGAATTTGATTTAACTCTTTCCCCCACAGTCACATGATCGTCTGCAGGTGTACGGTGGACACACGGACATGGTGATGTGTATGGCTATCCACAAGAGTATGGTGAGTCCTCTGTCCTCAGTCCAAATACACAGAAATAAAGAAAACATATCCGTTTATCACTGACGTTTCTCTGTGTTCTAGGTCTACACAGGTTGCTTTGACGGCAGTGTGCAGGCGGTCAAACTGAACCTGATCCAGAACTATTACTGCAGGGTAAGACAGGAGACTGGGATGTGAAGGGGTCGGCTGGGTAAGACAGGGAACTGGGATGTGAAGGGGTCGGCTGGGTAAGACTGGGAACTGGGATGTGAAGGGGTCTGCTGGGTAAGACAGGGAACTGGGATGTGAAGGGGTCGGCTGGGTAAGACAGGAGACTGGGATGTGAAGGGGTCGGCTGGGTAAGACAGGGAACTGGGATGTGAAGGGGTCGGCTGGGTAAGACAGGAGACTGGGATGTGAAGGGTCTCTGCTGGGTAAGACAGGGAACTGGGATGTGAAGGGGTCGGCTGGGTAAGACAGGGAACTGGGATGTGAAGGGGTCTGCTGGGTAAGACGGGGAACTGGGATGTGAAGGGGTCTGCTGGGTAAGACAGGGAACTGGGATGTGAGGGGGCCTCTGCTGGGTAAGACAGGGAACTGGGATGTGAAGGGAATGTTCTACTACGTAGTTCTACTGGGATAACCAAGTTAATAATACTAAGTAGAGGATAGGTCTTTCTTTATGGCTCAGTAGTTTTAGTTGCTACTATGTCCCACATTCTGAACGGTGTGTTTGTTCAGTATTTTATGCCCCCCCCCCCCCCGACTCCTTTTTATTTTTTTTTATTTCACCTTTATTTAACCAGGTAAACCAGTTGAGAACAGGTTCTCATTTACAACTGTGACCTGGCCAAGACAAAGCAAAGTAGTGCAACAAAAAACAACACAGAGTTACATATGGGGTAAAAAAAAATAAACATAAAGTCAGAGATACAACAGAAAATATATATACAGTGTGTGCAAATGTAGCAAGTTATGGAGGTAAGGCAATAAATAGGCTGTAGTGCAGAATAATTACAATAGTATTAACACTGGAATGCTAGATGTGCAAGAGATTATGTGCAAATAGAGATAATGGGGTGCAAAAGAGCAAATTAAATAACAATATAGGGATGAGGTAGTTGGGTGGGCTAATTTCAGATGGGCTGTGTACAGGTGCAGTGATCGGTAAGGTGCTCTGACAACTGATGCTTAAAGTTATTGAGGGAGATAAGAGTCTCCAGCTTCAGAGATTTTTGCAATTCGTTCCAGTCATTGGCAGCAGAGAACTGGAAGGAATGGCGGCCAAAGGAGGTGTTGGCTTTGGGAATGACCAGTGAGATATACCTGCTGGAGCGCAGACTACGGGTGGGTGCTGCTATGGTGACCAATGAGCTAAGATAAGGCGGGGATTTGCCTAGCAGTGATTTATAGATGGCCTGGAGCCAGTGGGTTTGACGACGAACATGTAGTGAGGACCAGCCAACAAGAGCGTACAGGTCACAGTGGTGGGTAGTGTATGGGGCTTTGGAGACAAAACGGATGGCACTGTGATAGACTACATCCAATTTGCTGAGTAGAGTGTTGGAGGCTATTTTATAAATGACATCGCCGAAGTCAAGGATCGGTAGGATAGTCAGTTTTACGAGGGCATGTTTGGCAGCATGAGTGAAGGAGGCTTTGTTGCGAAATAGGAAGCCGATCCTAGATTTAACTTTGGATTGGAGATTCTTTATGTGAGTCTGGAAGTTGAGTTTACAGTCTAACCAGACACCTAGGTATTTGTAGTTGTCCACATACTCTAGGTCAGACCCGTCGAGAGTGGTGATTCTAGTCGGGTGGGCGGGTGCTAGCAGCGTTCGATTGAAAAGCATGCATTTAGTTTTACTAGTGTTTAAGAGCAGTTGAAGGCTACTGAAGGATTGTTGTATGGCATTGAAGCTCGTTTGGAGGTTTGTTAACACAGTGTCCAATGAAGGGCCAGATGTATACAAAATGGTGTCGTCTGCGTAGAGGTGGATCTGAGAGTCACCAGCAGCAAGAGCGACATCATTGATATACACGGAGAAAAGTGTCGGCCCAAGAATTGAACCCTGTGGCACCCCCATAGAGACTGCCATAGGTCCAGACAACAGGCCCTCCGATTTGACACACTGAACTCTATCTGAGAAGTAGTTGGTGAACCAGGCGAGGCAGTCATTTGAGAAACCAAGGCTATTTAGTCTGCCAATAAGAATGCGGTGGTTGACAGAGTCGAAAGCCTTGGCCAGGTCGATGAAGACGGCTGCACAGTACTGTCTATTATCAATCGCGGTTATAATATCGTTTAGGACCTTGAGCGTGGCTGAAGTGCACCCGTGACCAGCTCGGAAACCAGATTGCATAGCGGAGAAGGTACGGTGGTATTCGAAATGGTCGATGATCTGTTTATTAACTTGGCTTTCGAAAACTTTCGAAAGGCAGGGCAGGATGGATATAGGTCTGTAGCAGTTTGGATCTAGAGTGTCACCCCCTTTGAAGAGGGGGATGACCGCGGCAGCTTTCCAATCTCTGGGGATCTCAGACGTTATGAAAGAGAGGTTGAACAGACTAGTAATAGCGGTTGCGACAATTTCGGCGGCTAGTTTTAGGAAGAAAGGGTCCAGATTGTCTAGCCCAGCTGATTTGTAGGGGTCCAGATTTTGCAGCGCTTTCAAAACATCAGCTGTCTGAATTTGTGTGAAGGAGAAGCGGGGTGGGCATGGGCAAGTTGCAGCAGAGGGTGCAGAGTTGGTGGCCGGGTTAGTGGTAGCCAGATGGAAAGCATGGCCAGCTGTAGCAAAATGCTTGTTGAAATTCTCGATTATTGTAGATTTATCGGTGGTGATAGTGTTTCCTAGCCTCAGTGCAGTGGGCAGCTGGGAGGAAGTGCTCTTATTCTCCATGGACTTTACAGTGTCCCAAAACTTTTTGGAGTTAGTGCTACAGGATGCAAATTTCTGTTTGAAAAAGTTAGCCTTTGCTTTCCTGACTGCTTGTGTATATTGGTTCCTAACTTCCCTGAAAAGTTGCATATCGCGGGGGCTATTTGATGCTAATGCTGTACGCCACAGGATGTTTTTGTGCTGGTCAAGGGCAGTCAAGTCTGAGGAGAACCAGGGGCTATATCGGTTCTTAGTTCTGTATTTTTTGAAAGGGGCATGTTTATTTAAGATTGAGAGGAAATTACTTTTAAGGAACAACCAGGCATCCTCTACTGACGGAATGAGATCTATATCCATCCAGGATACCTGGGCCAGGTCAATTAGGAAGGCCTCCTCGCTAAAGTGTTTTAGGGAGCGTTTGACAGTGATGAGGGGTGGTTGTTTGACCGCGGACCCGTTACGGACGCAGGCAATAAGGCAGTGATCGCTGAGATCCTGGTTGAAGACAGCTGAGGTGTATTTAGAGGGTATGTTAGTCAGGATGATATCTATGAGGGTACCTATGTTTAAGGATTTAGGGTTGTACCTGGTAGGTTCGTTGATAATTTGCGTGAGGTTGAGGGCATCTAGCTTGGATTGTAGGATGGCTGGGGTATTAAGCATATCCCAATTTAGGTCACCAAGCAGTACAAACTCAGAGGATAAATGGGGGGCAATCAGTTCACATATGGTGTCCAGGGCACAGCTGGGGGCTGAGGGGGGTCTGTAGCAAGCGGCAACAGTGAGAGACTTATTTCTGGAAAGGTGGATTTTTAGAAGTAGAAGCTCAAACTGTTTGGGCACAGACCTGGATAGTATGATAGAGCTCTGCAGGCTATCTCTACAGTAGATTGCAACTCCACCCCCTTTGGCAGTTCTATCTAGACGGAAAATGTTGTAGTTGGGGATGGAAATTTCAGAATTTTTGGTGGCCTTCCTGAGCCAGGATTCAGACACTGCTAGAACATCAGGGTTGGCAGAGTGTGCTAACGCAGTGAATAACTCAAACTTAGGAAGTAGACTTCTGATATTTATGTGCAAGAAACCAAGACTTTTGCGATTACAGAAGTCAACAAATGATAGCTCCTGGGGTGTAGGAGTGATACTGAGGGCTGCAGGGCCTGGGTTAGCCTCTACATCACCAGAGGAACAGAGGAGGATTAGAATAAGGATACGGCTAAAGGCTTTAAGAACTGGTCTTCTAGTGCGTTGGGTACAGAGAATAAAGGGGGCAGTTCTCCGGGCATTGTAGAAAAGATTCAGGGCATTATGTACAGACAAGGATATGGAAGGACATGAGTAAAGTGGAGGTAAACCTAAGCGTTGGGTAACACTGAAAGAGATAGTATCTCTAGAGGCATCAATTGAGTCGGTTTCTTTGTGTATTGGTGGAGGGACAAAGGAGCTAACTAAGGCATGTTTAGCTAGGCTGGGGGGTCTACAGTGATATAGTACAATTAGAAATAACCGAAACAACAATAAACTAACCATGTTTGGGCTGAGGCTAAACATAAACAGGATGTAGTACCGTAAAAAGGAACAGTCCAGCAGATATCAGCTGTATAGCTGAGTTATCATAAGGTCCGGTGGTGAAACACTAGTAAGAGGCCACGGCTAGCGTGTGCTAGCGGGCCAGGGCTAGCAGATGGATGGAATCTTCGTGGTTAACGTCGTAACCACATCAGACGATTTCGTCGGTAGACCAGTCGTGTAGGATCGGCGGGGCTCCGCGTCAATACTATGTGGTCCCGTCCAGTTGATAGAGAGGTAGATATCCGGGAGATGGGCCTAGCTCAGGTTGATTAGCCAGACCACAGCGTCCGTTTTGTTGTAGCCAGCTGGTGGCGATGAATCCGGAGTTAAAGGTCCAGTGAATCAGTGATTCCGCGGAAGAACTGATATGTTCTGGGTCGATAACGCGCTGTGCAGACTGGCCGAATATCCGGTGATCAATGTCCAGTGATTAAAATTAATCCCGCGGAAAAAATCCAATGTTCTGGATGAAAACACCTTAGCTGTGGCTAAAAGCAAGTAGCTAGTTAGCTGGCTAGCTAGTTTCAACTGGAGATTCTAGATTCTAGACAAAGGTAAGTCAATAATAGAATCCGTTCCACATTGAGTGAGGCGGGTTGCAGGAAAGTATATCTTGTAGAAGGATGAAAAGTCTGATAGGGAAATATGTACGAAAAATGTACGAAAATAGAGTATTTACAGGCTATATACAGACAGACGATAAAAAAACAACTGCACTACCTCGCCATCTCTGATCTAACTCCCTCCCCCCCGACTCCTCTCCTTCTAGTGGCATGGCTGTTCTCTGATCTAACTCCCTCCCCCCGACTCCTCTCCTTCTAGTGGCATGGCTGTTCTCTGATCTAACTCCCTCCCCCCCGACTCCTCTCCTTCTAGTGGCATGGCTGTTCTCTGATCTAACTCCCTCCCCCCGACTCCTCTCCTTCTAGTGGCATGGCTGTTCTCTGATCTAACTCCCTCCCCCCCGACTCCTCTCCTTCTAGTGGCATGGCTGTTCTCTGATCTAACTCCCTCCCCCCGACTCCTCTCCTTCTAGTGGCATGGCTGTTCTCTGATCTAACTCCCTCCCCCCGACTCCTCTCCTTCTAGTGGCATGGCTGTTCTCTGATCTAACTCCCTCCCCCGACCCCTCTCCTTCTAGTGGCATGGCTGTTCTCTGATCTAACTCCCTCCCCCCCGACTCCTCTCCTTCTAGTGGCATGGCTGTTCTCTGATCTAACTCCCTCCCCCCGACTCCTCTCCTTCTAGTGGCATGGCTGTTCTCTGATCTAACTCCCTCCCCCCGACTCCTCTCCTTCTAGGGGCATGGCTGTTCTCTGATCTAACTCCCTCCCCCCGACTCCTCTCCTTCTAGTGGCATGGCTGTTCTCTGATCTAACTCCCTCCCCCCGACTCCTCTCCTTCTAGTGGGATGGCTGTTCTCTGATCTAACTCCCTCCCCCCCGACTCCTCTCCTTCTAGTGGCATGGCTGTTCTCTGATCTAACTCCCTCCCCCCGACGCCTCTCCTTCTAGTGACCTCCCTCCCTCTGCCTCTTCTGTCCTCCCAGTGGCATGGCTGTTCTCTCATCTAACTCCCTCCCTCTGCCTCTTCCGTCCTCCCAGTGGCATGGCTGTTCCCTGATCTTTGGAGTGTTGGAGCACCTTCAGCAGCACCTGCTCCAAGACCACGCCTCTCCCAACACACAGACCCTCAAGTGTCGATGGAAGAACTGCGATGAGTATTTCACTGCTCGCAACGGCTCCAAGCAGGTTTGGCATCGAGTGTTCCTACACGAGGCATATACAGTAACACACACTACAGACTGCTGTGACTGTTATGGAATGTATTAGTCCAGAGGTAGAGCTGTGACTGTTATGGAATGTATTAGTCCAGAGGTAGGACTGTGACTGTTATAGAATGTATTAGTCCAGAGGTAGGACTGTGACTGTTATAGAATGTATTAGTCCAGAGGTAGGGCTGTGACTGTTATAGAATGTATTAGTCCAGAGGTAGGGCTGTGACTGTTATAGAATGTATTAGTCCAGAGGTAGGGCTGTGACTGTTATAGAATGTATTAGTCCAGGGGTAGGGCTGTGACTGTTATAGAATGTATTAGTCCAGAGGTAGGGCTGTGACTGTTATAGAATGTATTAGTCCAGAGGTAGGGCTGTGACTGTTATAGAATGTATTAGTCCAGAGGTAGGGCTGTGACTGTTATGGAATGTATTAGTCCAGAGGTAGGGCTGTGACTGTTATAGAATGTATTAGTCCAGAGGTAGGGCTGTGACTGTTATAGAATGTATTAGTCCAGAGGTAGGGCTGTGACTGTTATAGAATGTATTAGTCCAGAGGTAGGGCTGTGACTGTTATAGAATGTATTAGTCCAGAGGTAGGGCTGTGACTGTTATAGAATGTATTAGTCCAGAGGTAGGACTGTGACTGTTATGGAATGTATTAGTCCAGAGGTAGGGCTGTGACTGTTATAGAATGTATTAGTCCAGAGGTAGGGCTGTGACTGTTATAGAATGTATTAGTCCAGACGTAGGGCTGTGACTGTTATAGAATGTATTAGTCCAGAGGTAGGACTGTGACTGTTATGGAATGTATTAGTCCAGAGGTAGGACTGTGACTGTTATAGAATGTATTAGTCCAGAGGTAGGACTGTGACTGTTATAGAATGTATTAGTCCAGAGGTAGGGCTGTGACTGTTATAGAATGTATTAGTCCAGAGGTAGGGCTGTGACTGTTATAGAATGTATTAGTCCAGAGGTAGGGCTGTGACTGTTATAGAATGTATTAGTCCAGAGGTAGGACTGTGACTGTTATGGAATGTATTAGTCCAGAGGTAGGACTGTGACTGTTATAGAATGTATTAGTCCAGAGGTAGGACTGTGACTGTTATGGAATGTATAAGTCCAGAGGTAGGACTGTGACTGTTATGGAATGGAATGTATTAGTCCAGAGGTAGGGCTGTGACTATTATAGAATGTATTAGTCCATCAGAGGTAGGTCTGTGACTGTTATAGAATGTATTAGTCCAGAGGTAGGACTGTGACTGTTATGGAATGGAATGTATTAGTCCAGAGGTAGGGCTGTGACTGTTATGGAATGTATTAGTCCAGAGGTAGGACTGTGACTGTTATGGAATGGAATGTATTAGTCCAGAGGTAGGGCTGTGACTGTTATGGAATGTATTAGTCCAGAGGTAGGACTGTGACTGTTATGGAATGGAATGTATTAGTCCAGAGGTAGGGCTGTGACTGTTATGGAATGTATTAGTCCAGAGGTAGGGCTGTGACTGTTATGGAATGTATTAGTCCAGAGGTAGGGCTGTGACTGTTATAGAATGTATTAGTCCAGGGGTAGGACTGTGACTGTTATAGAATGTATTAGTCCAGGGGTAGGACTGTGACTGTTATAGAATGTATTAGTCCATCAGAGGTAGGGCTGTGACTGTTATAGAATGTATTAGTCCAGAGGTAGGACTGTGACTGTTATAGAATGTATTAGTCCAGGGGTAGGACTGTGACTGTTATAGAATGTATTAGTCCAGAGTTAGGACTGTGACTGTTATAGAATGTATTAGTCCAGAGGTAGGACTGTGACTGTTATAGAATGTATTAGTCCAGAGGTAGGACTGTGACTGTTATAGAATGTATTAGTCCAGGGGTAGGACTGTGACTGTTATAGAATGTATTAGTCCAGAGGTAGGACTGTGACTGTTATAGAATGTATTAGTCCAGAGGTAGGACTGTGACTGTTATAGAATGTATTAGTCCAGAGGTAGGACTGTGACTGTTATGGAATGTATTAGTCCAGAGGTAGGGCTGTGACTGTTATAGAATGTATTAGTCCAGAGGTAGGGCTGTGACTGTTATGGAATGTATTAGTCCAGAGGTAGGGCTGTGACTGTTATAGAATGTATTAGTCCAGAGGTAGGACTGTGACTGTTATAGAATGTATTAGTCCAGGGGTAGGACTGTGACTGTTATAGAATGTATTAGTCCAGAGGTAGGACTGTAACTGTTATGGAATGTATTAGTCCAGAGGTAGGACTGTGACTGTTATAGAATGTATTAGTCCAGAGGTAGGGCTGTGACTGTTATAGAATGTATTAGTCCAGAGGTAGGACTGTGACTGTTATAGAATGTATTAGTCCAGGGGTAGGACTGTGACTGTTATAGAATGTATTAGTCCAGAGGTAGGACTGTGACTGTTATGGAATGTATTAGTCCAGAGGTAGGACTGTGACTGTTATAGAATGTATTAGTCCAGAGGTAGGGCTGTGACTGTTATAGAATGTATTAGTCCAGAGGTAGGACTGTGACTGTTATAGAATGTATTAGTCCAGAGGTAGGGCTGTGACTGTTATAGAATGTATTAGTCCAGAGGTAGGACTGTGACTGTTATAGAATGTATTAGTCCAGAGGTAGGACTGTGACTGTTATAGAATGTATTAGTCCAGAGGTAGGACTGTGACTGTTATGGAATGTATTAGTCCAGAGGTAGGGCTGTGACTGTTATAGAATATATTAGTCCAGAGGTAGGGCTGTGACTGTTATGGAATGTATTAGTCCAGAGGTAGGGCTGTGACTGTTATAGAATGTATTAGTCCAGAGGTAGGACTGTGACTGTTATAGAATGTATTAGTCCAGGGGTAGGACTGTGACTGTTATAGAATGTATTAGTCCAGAGGTAGGACTGTGACTGTTATGGAATGTATTAGTCCAGAGGTAGGACTGTGACGGTTATGGAATTTATTAGTCCAGGGGTAGGGCTGTGACTGTTATAGAATGTATTAGTCCAGAGGTAGGACTGTGACTGTTATAGAATGTATTAGTCCAGAGGTAGGGCTGTGACTGTTATAGAATGTATTAGTCCAGAGGTAGGACTGTGACTGTTATGGAATGTATTAGTCCAGAGGTAGGGCTGTGACTGTTATGGAATGTATTAGTCCAGAGGTAGGACTGTGACGGTTATGGAATTTATTAGTCCAGGGGTAGGGCTGTGACTGTTATAGAATGTATTAGTCCAGAGGTAGGACTGTGATTGTTATAGAATGTATTAGTCCAGAGGTAGGACTGTGACTGTTATAGAATGTATTAGTCCAGAGGTAGGACTGTGACTGTTATAGAATGTATTAGTCCAGAGGTAGGACTGTGACTGTTATAGAATGTATTAGTCCAGAGGTAGGACTGTGACTGTTATAGAATGTATTAGTCCAGAGGTAGGGCTGTGACTGTTATGGAATGTATTAGTCCAGAGGTAGGACTGTGACGGTTATGGAATTTATTAGTCCAGGGGTAGGGCTGTGACTGTTATAGAATGTATTAGTCCAGAGGTAGGACTGTGACTGTTATAGAATGTATTAGTCCAGAGGTAGGGCTGTGACTGTTATAGAATGTATTAGTCCAGAGGTAGGACTGTGACTGTTATGGAATGTATTAGTCCAGAGGTAGGGCTGTGACTGTTATGGAATGTATTAGTCCAGAGGTAGGACTGTGACGGTTATGGAATTTATTAGTCCAGGGGTAGGGCTGTGACTGTTATAGAATGTATTAGTCCAGAGGTAGGACTGTGACTGTTATAGAATGTATTAGTCCAGAGGTAGGACTGTGACTGTTATAGAATGTATTAGTCCAGAGGTAGGACTGTGACTGTTATAGAATGTATTAGTCCAGAGGTAGGGCTGTGACTGTTATAGAATGTATTAGTCCAGAGGTAGGGCTGTGACTGTTATAGAATGTATTAGTCCAGAGGTAGGGCTGTGACTGTTATGGAATGTATTAGTCCAGAGGTAGGGCTGTGACTGTTATGGAATGTATTAGTCCAGAGGTAGGGCTGTGACTGTTATAGAATGTATTAGTCCAGAGGTAGGACTGTGACTGTTATGGAATGTATTAGTCCAGAGGTAGGGCTGTGACTGTTATAGAATGTATTAGTCCAGAGGTAGGACTGTGACTGTTATGGAATGTATTAGTCCAGAGGTAGGACTGTGACTTATGGAATGTATTAGTCCAGAGGTAGGACTGTGACTGTTATAGAATGTATTAGTCCAGAGGTAGGGCTGTGACTGTTATGGAATTTTGAATGACGGTAATTGGCAAGCCAAATGACCTCGGTCTCCATTAACAACTGTTAGAATAACAAATCAAACAAATGTACGCACCATAAAAACATTCCATTGCATGAGCCACATCAGTTAGCATCATTAGAATGAACATTCTACATTACCATGGAAATGATTGCATCACAATACCAGGCAGCCATTGTGAATGTACACACAATGAGTTAGGTCAAACTGCCAGGGTCAGAGGTTCCCTGTCCATTCTATTCATCGTTTACTAATAATAATAATAATAATAATATGCCATTTAGCAGACGCTTTTATCCAAAGCGACTTACAGTCATGTGCGCATACATGTTTACGTATGGGTGGTCCCGGGGATCGAACCCACTACCCTGGCGTTACAAGCGCCGTGCTCTACCAGCTGAGCTACAGAGGACCACTACAATACCTTGCTTGTTTCATCACGTTGTTAAGAGTCCATGCTATCTCAGAAACAGACTCGACCGCACCAATGTCCGGCCTTCCCGTCTTCAGTAAGCTGTTATGACGGCTATTTTATTTTCATGACGGTCTCCATCCATAACCGTCGGTTACACCGTTATATGGTAATTGTGCCAGCCCCAGTCAGAGGCAGACCTTCTTCTTCTGCTAAATGGATGGATGTTCCAGACACCCCCTATTTATATTGACAGATCTACTATCTGGGTTGTGTGTCTCAGTTGATTCTTCCTGTGCTGTCTTAAATAGAACAAGTGATGTGTGTGTTTCTGTCTCCTGTCTACAGGGGGCGCCAAGGCACATGCTGCAACATGTTGAGGAGGAGTGGAGTAGACCAGCCCAACCCTGAGGGAGTGACCCCCACCCTCCCGTAACCCCTCCATCCCCCCTCTTTAACTCCCATATTGGGGTGACCCAGTCTATAAGGTCGCCTGGTTAAACCAGTCTGAATGATGAGCGCATCGTTGAAACAGTGGTGGCTCAGCTTGGTTTTACCATCTGGAAGACTTTTACGAAGTGGTGCCAGGTGACTGCTAGCCTGAAAACCAGACCTGTTTGGTGCTAACATTCCACTTCTTGCCAATGTTTGGCAGTGAGTGGAATGATAGCACAAACCGACGGGTATCCAGGCTAAGGTGACCATACATACCAGAGAATAATGATGATGAATCTGTTGGAATCCAATCTGTTGTTTTGTTATGAAAGGAGAGATGTGAAGTGTTATAGTTTTTTTTACCAACTAAAACATCTCTTCCTCTCCATGGTTCTCTCATCATGAATGAATGAACACTGCTTAATGTCAGTTGCTCGAACCACTGACCAAATAAGACAAAGGAACACAGGACTGACTAACTAACCGTTCACCAAGCAAAGAAACCAGGTATGAAAGAGTCATTGTTATGTTTTCTATTCAAACGGCTGCAAATACACTTTCAAAATGAATCCAACCCTCAGTTTTCTAAAGACAATGTTTGCCACTACATGGCATGGGTGAAGGGAGTGTTTGGAGTGAAGTCAGGATGCTAGTGTCTTGTTGTGTTTGGAGTGAAGTCAGGATGCTAGTGTCTTGTTGTGTTTGGAGTGAAGTCAGGATGCTAGTGTCTTGTTGTGTTTGGAGTGAAGTCAGGATGCTAGTGTCTTGTTGTGTTTTGGAGTGAAGTCAGGATGCTAGTGTCTTGTTGTGTTTGGGAGTGAAGTCAGGATGCTAGTGTCTTGTTGTGTTTGGAGTGAAGTCAGGATGCTAGTGTCTTGTTGTGTTTGGGGTGAAGTCAGGATGCTAGTGTCTTGTTGTGTTGGGTGAAGTCAGGATGCTAGTGTCTTGTTGTGTTTGGAGTGAAGTCAGGATGCTAGTGTCTTGTTGTGTTTGGAGTGAAGTCAGGATGCTAGTGTCTTGTTGTGTTTGGAGTGAAGTCAGGATGCTAGTGTCTTGTTGTGTTTGGAGTGAAGTCAGGATGCTAGTGTCTTGTTGTGCAGCTCCTCTGACTTATAATAACCTCTTTGGTTACAGCTGTGATTCACTCTTCATCAGACTAGGCTAGCCAGTCTGCTGAATGAAGGCTTTAATGGTGTCATGACCTAGATTTTTCTGGGACATATTTCAGTGCTATGGAGTGTAATTTCTTGCATTTTAAGAAGTTCATTTTGTATTTTTTGTTTTGTTTTTGAGAGTGATGCCCCATTTTGATAATTGTTTCATTAGATCCCCCTCACTACCATATCTTGGTCTTATTTTATTTTTTTAAACGGGGGTTTCTATCTTAGTCTTGATCTTTTTCTTTCTGGCGTTGAGTGTGGTTGCTCCTTGATATTTTGGTGTTTGTTGAAGGACAGTGTAAAGTGTCAGGGTCTGAGATTGCCATTTGAAAATGTGGTTTTGCAGTGATGGAGCACTGAGGAACTGAGAGACACAATGGTGTGTGTTCTAGAATGGTTCTAGAATGTGTTCTAGTGTCAGTTCTAGTGTTGGTTCTAGAATGTGCTCTAGTGTTGGTTCTAGAATGTGCTCTAGAATAGGTTCTAGTGTCGGTTCACTGTGTTCCTATGCGTGAACAGGCGTGTGTGATGAGCGTAGTTAATTTGTCCTCGTCGTTGAGACAGACGTGAGAAATTTGAAATAATCACTGTTTTGTTGTTTATTTTTTCCTGAAGGAGTGAGTTTGTACTTAGCAATAATTGTTGGATATTGCTGTTGCATCTTTTGTGGAACTCTTACAGTATGTGGGTGTATTTTAAATCGGGTGTATCTACTCCACAGTAAGTAAGGGTTTGTTTTGAAGCACGGGCCGTTTCTGTGTAGAGATGAAGATGGTATAGAGGTGGTGTGTCGAGGGGTTGAAGAGCCCAGAGGGACAGAATCAGGATCCACCTCCCATGCCATACCTCAAAACCCCCTGATGAGACACGCGTCACTCAAACCAATATAAACCACTCACACACACACACATCACACAAACCAAGCTGATACGTTGATCAATCATGCCTTTTTTTCCCAAACCGTTTTTTTTCTTCTTTTTATAGTATTATAAAGCAACACGTTTTTTTAAAAATTAAATTGTAATCAATGTATAAAAAAAAAAGTTCAGCCAATGTTCTCGTTGTAACGCTCCTTATCCATGTAGTGGCAGCTCTGGGTTGTGGTGGTGTAGGTGTGTGTTCAGCTGAGGTGAGAAGACGTACCTCCAGACGCGTGGAACCTTTCCTCTTCCCCTGGTATTGGAGGGAAAACATACAGTCGTCTTCTTATCTGACATTCCTGAGTTTCTTTGACAAACTTTGTTTGGTTCTTGCCAACAGTTGTGAACTTTGTTATTTTGTTTTGAAGGAAATGTTATTGTATAAGTAAAAACCTAAGTAAAAACCTGGGAAAAGCCTGTTGATTTGTCTTTCATCTGTAGTTGTGTATGTGCTTGAATATTATCTTGAACTACAGCATTCACAGACAGAGCAGCGGTTTTAAAATATTATCTTGTACTAAAGCATTCACAGACAGAGCAGCGGTTTAAAAATATTATCTTGTACTAAAGCATTCACAGACAGAGCAGCGGTTTTAAAATATTATCTTGTACTAAGGCATTCACAGACAGAGCAGCGGTTTTAAAATATTATCTTGAACTAAAGCATTCGCAGACAGAGCAGCGGTTTAAAATATTATCTTGAACTAAAGCATTCGCAGACAGAGCAGCGGTTTAAAATATTATCTTGTACTAAAGCATTCCGACAGAGCATTTGACTTGTTTCTGCATTCATTTAATAAAGCATGTATTAGAAAAAAAATCAGTCAAACCAATAACTACACAATTATTTATTGTGTTAAAATGTTTAAAAATGCATTACTCTCATTTGACCAAAACTTTAATAGGAAACCACAAAAAGTCCAACCCATAGTCATATTCACAACTCCACATGTTGAACCCACCCTGTAGGGAGCTCTTCAACAGGCTAGGGAGGCTTCTGCCTGGTCGCTAGGGAGGCTTCTGCCTGGTCCTGGTCGCTAGGGAGGCTTCTGCCTGGTCCTGGTCGCTAGGGAGGCTTCTGCCTGGTCGCTAGGGAGGCTTCTGCCTGGTCCTGGTCGCTAGGGAGGCTTCTGCCTGGTCCTGGTCGCTAGGGAGGCTTCTGCCTGGTCCTGGTCGCTAGGGAGGCTTCTGCCTGGTCCTGGTCGTACAGGGGAGGGTGGGAGGAGCTAGGGAGGCTTCTTCCTGGTCGCACAGCGGAGGTTGAGGAGGAGGAGTGTTCTTGGCAGGTTCTGTCTGTCCTGTTCTGCGTCTCGTCCTTCCATTGGTAGGACTGGCAGATTAGCAGATTCTATAGACATTTCTCTGACACCAGTGTTTCAGAGCTGATGGGGAGATTTTTCCGGTTCCCACGGACCAACCAGTCCGGTGCTGAGTCAGAAAGTTCCAAGACTGAAGGGAGGAAGCACGGGTCCTTTTCCAACATCTCCAGTTCATCCAATGGCCATGAGAGAACCGTGGTCTTCACTGGAGCGATGTCGAGAAGGGGCTTGGCAGCGCATCATGTCAGGGTGGGTTGATATCCCAAATGTTAAGGATGGTATAGGGAGATGTTCGGATGTAGGTGGCTTGGAATGTTGCCGATGTAGGCACGCATAGGGAGATGTGTCAGGTGGTATAGGGGTTGTTGAGGTTAGAGAGGAGATTTCAGGAATGGTATAGGATGAGTTTAGGGGAGATGTTCAGGATGGTATTAGTTGTTATTATGTTAGGATGGTAGGTGGTATGGTAATTTCAGGGGTAGTGTATGTTCAGGATGGTAGATGTTCAGGTGTAGGCGTATAGGGGGATTTTGTCAGGATGGTAGTTGGTATAGGTCAATGTTAGGATGGTAATGTTATAGGGGATTTAAGGATTGTATATGGGAATGTTTCAGGATGTAGTTGGTATAGTGTAAATGTTAAGGATGGGAGGTTGTAATAGTGTAGATGTTCAGGATGGTAGGTTTATAAATAAAATTGGAGAGGTTTCAGATGGTAGCGGTGATAATGGGAGATTTTCAGTATGGTATGGTATAGGGAGATGTTCGGATGGTAGGTGGTATAGGTGAGATGTTCAGATTGTGTGTATAGGGGAGATGTTAAAGGATGGTATAGGGAGATGTTCAGGATGGTAGGTGGTATGGTTAGATGTTAAGGATGGTAGGTGGTTCATAAGGGGATATGTATCAGGGATGGTAGGTGGCTAGTAGATGTTCAGGATGGTAGTGGTATAGGGGAGATGTGCGGATGGTAAGTGGTATAGGGGAGATTTCCGGATGGTAATAGGGAGAATGTTAAGGATGGTAAGTGGTATAGGGAATGTTCCGGATGGGAGTTGTATAGGGGGAGATTTTCAGGATATGTCGGTTGGTCTGGGGAGCTGTTCTGATGTAGGTGGTATAGGGGCGCTTAAGGATGGTAGGTGGTCTAGGGGCCATGTTCAGGATGGTAGGTTGTATAGGGGAGATGTTCGGCCGGTAGGTGGTATCGGGAGATGTTCAGGATGTAGGTGGATTAGGGATATGTTTTCACGATGGTAGGGTGGTATAGGGTAGATGTTCAAGATGGTAGGCATAATGAGGGAACTATTCATAGAAGGAGTAGGGAACCAGGTGAGGCTAGATCGACGCACATTTTCCCCCCCGATAAATAAAACGGTGAATATTTTAAGAGATATTTGATGGTGATGGAGAAGTGTTCCTGTAGGTATGTTGACAGACAAAGAGAGTTATGTTTGTTTTGTGCCTGAGAGAGAGAACAATACGTGTTGTAAGAGTGGGGGTGTTAAAACAGACTGGACACGCAGAATACACTGATGGTTTCAGCAATACTGGGAAAATGGACAGGGTCATTAGAGG